CGTTCCGCTACCTCAGGCTGTCAGCACTCTGACAGCGTTGGGGTCACACCAGCTCTCAGCTTTTGCTGCCTGTGGCCCACTGGGAGAGGACGGGCTTGACCAAGAGAAGAACCCCTCACCCGACACCACAACACGGCCGACCCGGCCCACTGTGGGAGGCCATTGGCCAGCTCCAGCTCATGCTTGGGGCCAGGGTGGTACCGAAACAGCTGGGTTTTGCCGGCACGTGGGAGCAGTACGGTCAGTCTATGAGCAAGAGCCCTGGGAGCAGGCAAGCCACGGCCAAGGAGGGCACAGGGCCCGAGCGGGAGCCCTCGCCCCTCACACCACCTCACGGCATAGGCCCCCCGCACCCCCCTCCCCGGCTCGCTGGCTTCCCCTGGCCGGTGAGTCAGCAGCAGCCGGAGCCGCCAGGTTAAAAATATACCCTCAGCCTCCCGGCAGGCAGAAGGGTGAGGAGGAATTTGGCTGCGAGGCGAGGCGTCCCTCGTCTCCCCCCCCCCCCCCCGCGCGGGCCGGTCTCGGCATCGGCGTGGGGCTTAGTTACCGGCTGGGGTTAAGCCATGACACCCACCAACAAAGCAATTCCAGAAGCCCCCTTTGAGCAGAAAGCTCTGCTTGGAAAACCACCTTCCCTGTTTTATGCTATTCATGTATAAATGCATAATACCCGCTAGGCATCGTCGTGGGCTCTCGGGGCCGGGAAGGCGCGAAGGGTGCGCGGCTGCGGTTAAAGCCCTTCTGCTGGGAGCGGGGTGGGACGGGGAGGCCGAGAGCCCCGGTAATCCCCAGCCGCCCGGAGCCAGGGGCTTCGTGCGCCGCAGCCAGCGCGGCAGCTCCGGCGGAGGGAGGTCGTGCCTCTAGCCTTTGTGGTGGAGAGCAGCGGTGTGACGGACTGGGCACTGGCGTGACTTGAGCGCCTTACTTTTTGGGGATATTTCATGGTTTTCTCCTTGCACTTGACTTTCGCTTTGATCTTCCCTCTTGTCGCATCTTCCAGGCAATGTATCTCTTTAACGCTTTCTCTTACAGCAATCTCCGAAGGTCTGGTCAGCGTTGAGTACGTTAGTTGGTAGATGCTTTATATGCATGTCATAACAGGTATTTTAGGGTTTTCTAAGAGCTGTTAGGTTGTTGACAGTTAACACGTTAGTACAAAAGACCTTAACTTAAGCATGAATTTTCTGTTGGATCCGACAGTGCTGCTGGAGGACACTCCTGCACTGAACAGCCCATCACTGTCACCTTCCAGAATTTGTTATACATTGGCCTACTGGTGGAGCAATTTGTATGAACAATCCTAAAATCAATTCAATAAAATCAGGCAGGTTAGCATGGAATTAGTGGTCTGGGTTAAGATGGCTTTACTTAGTAAGTCTGTGGAGGTGTGTTTTTCTGGTCTTCTGCTACAAGTTACTGTTTTTCCTTTGCTCTTTCAGTTACCTGGTATGCTAGACCACGTAAATACACCTTGTCCTCTTTATGGCAGCCTTAAACCATGAATAAAATCAATTTGATCTTACTCGATTGTGTCTGTATTGAAGTAAATGAAGGAATGCTCAGACGTGTTCCTTTCTGTCCTGTCAGCTGAGCATGACCTGCCTTCTTCCTTTCCATCCCTGCAGCCCAGGGTGGGAATGAACAAGGGGTAATTGCGAGTTTAACGGTTTCAGCCAGATCCAAAAAATGCGTTATTGGTACCTTTAACTGTTATCAGACTCTCTGAAAGGATTATAATTTAGTGTGGGGTTTGTGTTTTGGTGGTTTTTGTTTTTTTAAAAAGAGACTTTAAAGTCTAGGGCTTGTACATGAGTAGTTTAAGGAGTCTTTGAACACTTTGTTTCATTTGCCTGGCCTAACGGCCCATACAAAAGGGGTCTAGTTCTGTTAAAGTAATCCTTACTTTTTTTATTCCAGAATTCCAGAGGCATTTCTTATCTCTTGAAGGATAGCGTCCCAATTACTGAATTTTCAGCTTCAGGACCATTTGAAGGTTATGATCTTCTGCGTAGAGGGTATACTTTACTTTTTCTTGTTGAATTGTGCCATAGCCGATGTTGAACTTCAGATATAGGAAGAAAGTATGTGTTAAATGTTGGCTTTTTAAAGAAGGTGCTTGGAAGGTGTATGGCAAAAGCTATAACCTAAATTGCACATATTTAATCAGATTGCCTTTCAAGCATGAATTTTCTCTGAAACATCACTTCAAGAAGTAGATAACATTAATGGACTTTTACCTGTGTGATACTGCTCTTTAGAAAAGAGATGGCAATGTATTAATAATTATGAAATATATGCTAGTTTTAATATACGTGTATATGAGTGTGCCGTAGCACTGTGGGAAATGGTTGATTTCAGCATTGGTGCGAAAAGTAAATATAGTAAAAATAGTGGGTTTGGGTTTTGTCATTTTATATGAGTGCAAGACTACGTATGTGTCTTGGATAATGAATCTGAAACAAGTTAATGGAGTTTAAAATGCGGGTAATACCTTCCTCCCCCATACCTGTATGTACAATATTCAGTTGCAAAAGCTTGGCGACTTCTAAAATCAGATACCATGGTAGCTTGGACATAATTAAACCTATGATGTTTTAATTTATTAATATTTTTCTTTATTTCTGAAGGGGGTCAAGGAAGAAAAGCTGTCATTCTGTTTTGTCAAACATAAAGAAAAAAGGATGCCTGAAATCTAAATTATTTTTCTTCTGGTGGTGCTGTAGTTAGAGGTCTTACTTGCTGCTTCACTACTAAGCTTTTTTTTTTTTGGTAGTTCAAACTGCTAATTGTGTGTCTCTGTGGGTTGATGTTTGTATCTGAGATTAGTTTTGGAATGCAACTTAGTATCCTGATTAATTTGAAGTTCAAATTTTTTACTTGTATTTCTAGCTTTACAAGTGTGAAAAATGAATTGTTGCCCAGCCACCCACTGGAGTTGTCAGAAAAAAATGTAAGTACAACAGCAAACGTAGCCGTCTTCACTCTTAACTAATTATGAAGTTTAAATTAACAATGTGGTTACCTGGACTGCTTTTTGCGGTAACAAGTAATGAGCAGGGTCTTGCCTTTAACAGAATAAAGGTGTTCAACAATAGTAACATTTTATTTATACAAATAACATCGTTGGCAAATTCGTTTAATGTTAACCTCCCACTTGTGACTCTTCCCATTTCAAGTATGTAAGCGGGCTTCCAAGTAGGTAGCCAAGTTGGTAAGCTTTAGTCATCTAAAAGTTACTAAGCTGGTTGTGTATGCAGCCTCTGTAGTTAGGTGGGGGGCACACCTGTCACTTCTAGAAGGCTGATCCTCCCATTTTGTCTATAGGTTTACCATATATCTTCATTTTCAGACTTTCAGTCTGTGAACACGTAAATACTTTTCATTAAATTACTTGATCCCACTTAGAAATTTTACACATACAGTTTGTCATAAGTGTATGCAGTCTTGTCCGGCTTAGTTATCGCTCATGGACCACTTAAGAGTGGTCTGTGGACCGTAGGTTGAAGGGAAAGGGAGACTAGACTGACAGCTTTGGCTAAATAGCTCGTTGAACTGAGTCTTGTCTCTGGTACCTGTTTTGTCATCACAGAAGATCTGATGTAATAGAATGTCCTGAAGCAAAGGCAGTATTTGGATATAGTGTTCCAAATTGCTAAGCTAATCAGCATGACGAGGTCTGAATGTAATGTCTAATGTATTCTAATTCTAACCAGTGCTAGTGTTGTCTTGAGTTAAAAGGATGATGTTAATGTGACACCAACTTCACGAGCTTATTTATAAATACTGTAAATGTTTTCGAGCTATTTGTCAATTGTTTTTTTTTTAACAACTGACTACTATAACTTAGTTTTTAACTCTGTTCTTGCTATATAAAACCTGCATAATTAAAAGATTACATGCTGGAGAGAAAAAAATGCACAGAAATTAAAACAGACAATGTGTTCCCCTACGAAGTGTGTGAAACTTTTAAATTGCTTTTTCCACATACTGTTTGGTTAGTTTTTCTATAAATTTATGGCCGATTTTTCTAAGAATTATTTTCATGTACATTTGGTAGGTTATTCAGGTAGCACTAGTAGAAACCAAATCTTTCTGCTACCCAGATAAGGACTCCTACCTTTATAAAATAGAAGACGTGGAAAAATAATGTGACCAGAATTGTAAGTTTGGGATGAGGCATATAAATAGTATTTTCTGCTAACTTTTGAAGAGCATTCAATGTAGGTTGTTATGAAGAAAACACGTTATGCCTTTGACTTGTATTCTCCTGTTGGTTTTTGAGATCCCTTCACATAAACAGGATGATATTCTCATACTAGTAGGCTTTTGTCATGGTGATTGAGTACGGGTTTTAAAATAAGAGATTTGTATTTTTTGTTTTACTTTACAATACTGTATTGTGTCAACATTACAGGCATGTAGTCACTACTATAAATGCCAAATTTGAGACTGGATTGCTCAAACTTAAGTTTAACATTAAGCATAAGTTACTTTTGTGTACTTCGGTATTCGTGAGCCAGCATTTTCACTAAAAGGATTCTCTACTAAATAGATTTTCTTTGTCTTACTGATCAGTTTTAAAGCAGTTGGTAAAACTATGAGCTTTCTTTTGCTTTTTGGATTCATACGGAGTGTATGTGGTGCTCTGTCTTCCTACTTGATCAGAAAAGAAGTATTTCAGGAGTTTTCAAATAAAGTCTTTGATGGCTAACAATAACATCAATTGCGGCTTTCAAGTTTGTATTCTTACTTTAAACCAGACTTAGCTTCCAATTCATGCTGACAATATTGTAGTAAAGTAGTGCAAAACTACACCACTTGGTGGTGGTACATGTCCTGATTGTCAAAAATAACAAAATAAAATTGCTACTATTGATTTGTAATAAAATCCAGCAAAAAGCAACTCCAGTTTCATAAAACAAATATTACTGCATCACTATCTTTTTGTGTACATTTGAGACACATATGATGGAATCACTGAATTTTTACATATAAACTTAATAAGCATGTTCATTTAAGTAGGATGTCGCAAACCTCTTCTATGGCTGTAATTGAAATAACTTTTTCTAAAATAAAAAATCAATGTTGTTTGTGATAGTTCCAGTTTAATCAAGATAAAACAAACTTTGCCACACTGAGAAACATTCAAGGACTCCACGCACCTTTAAAGCTGCAGATGGAATTCAGAGCAGTGAAACAGGTAGGCATTTTTATCCAACTGGTATAACTTAAACCACTTGAAAAAATTTTTATCTCGGAATGTGCTTTCAGAGAGACATCTTTCTTTGTTGAAATACCTTATGTTTCCAAAAGAAATTATTTCATTGGACTGCTTTTATTAAAACCAACCAACCAAACATTGCAATTAATAGTTTCCAGGACAGTCAATATGCTGAAGCCTTTCAGCTGCTGTTCTTTTATTGGTTACTTGGTGAAGTGGTAACCACTCTAGCTTTTCCGTGGACTAGCTTCTTGAGAAGAAGCTTGTAACTCTAGCTTTTCCGTGGACTAGCTTCTTGTAAGCCTTCAGAGAAAAGCAGGAGGACTTGAGTATTAATTCCTAAAATTAATGCTCTCCTCTGAACGTATGACCTTCATGGGAAGGAATCCCTGCATCTGTAGGGCAGAGACTTAAGGATCTGAAGCAGGTAGTGATTTGGGAGTGGTTATAGAGGTAGTGTGAAACCTGAAGCAGAGAATTTGCTATGTGCTTATTATTGTTCCATAGCCTTTCTTGTAAGATTAGGGGAGGTCTACAGGGAGTTAAGTTCAAAGATTTTAACTCTTAATTGGGAAGCTGAGTCTGTCTCCTTTTCTGTCTTATCACCTAGGATGGAGAGTAACTGGAGGGAGGCTGACTTTGTCCCTTAGGAAACATAGAAAGCTCATTGGTCCTAGTAGACTTTTTTTGGCTTGTTGAAGGTTGTAAAGCTATTAAGAGTTGTTTTTCCAAGTGAGTTGGAGCAATTTTATACTCCCTTCCAGTGGATCAGGTGCTACTGAACCACAGTGAGCTGCATTAAACTTGGCAGAAACTACTGGTCCTGAAGAGGTGAAAGTCAAACAGGGTGTATGAAAACATCCCTTGATCTCAGCTGTGCTGTCTTACGAGGAAAAATCTTTTTCCTAACTGTTGTTAGCGTGTGGCAGAAAATGAGGCAGGTGAGGATATCCTGCTAGTGTGTCTCCACAGGTATTCTTGGGGGATGGAGGGGGAAATATGGTGATTAGAAGGTTTTTCACTGCCAGCTTCATGTTAGATATACAAGTTCTCTTGTGGTTTAATTTCACTTTTCTAAAATATTTACTGGAATAGTGTATTTGAACTTCTGACAATTGTACCAGTAGTGATTATGGAAATCTTTGACATATTTTTTGTGTAAAGAGATAGCTACTTGATAATTTTATGGTTGTAAAATATGTTCATGGTATAACTGAAGCATCGCTACTGGTAGTGAATGCAATTGTTAAGTACAGATGTGCCATTCTCAGAATATTTAGGATCTGAATGCTGTGTGTACCACTTGAAACTTTTTTGTAATACTGTGGGTGAAGGGTACAGAAGAGAGTCTTCTTGAAAGTAACTGGGAGTGGACTTGAAGCTTAAGAATTGGTGGGGAACAGAGAAATAATTATGACTTAGGTTAATTGCAAGGAGGATTATGTTTAGATGTGAAAATCAATATAACTCTTCCACTTACATTCCTGACTTGTGTCAGAGGTGTAGGAAACTTAGAACGTGATTTCCAAACGCTGCAGTATGTCAGTTGCCCAACACTGACCTCAGGGTGTTGATGTGTTTGTTGCAGTGAGCCTCCCCAGCTTTATGTGATAACAGAGGAGAAAAAAACCTACTTTTTTTTAACTACACTACTTGCTGTAGTAGCTACACTGCAGTGAAAGCTACAAATCTAGTGAAAGGCTGTTCTTTTCACAACAGAGATAAACAATAGAAGATGGTGGTGTTAGGTAGGTTTTGCTATCTATGTGTGCCAGTAGTTCTCTTATTTCATTGTTGTTTTTGAAGGAAGAAGTGACTTTGCCAATCACTTCTCTCAGTTACTTCAGACTGAAAAATCCAAATATAAACCTCCTTAATTTCAGACTTGTAGAAACTTGAACTCTTGTTGTCTTTTCACAGGTCCAGCGTCTCCCATTTCTTCACAGCTCAAACGTAGCACTGGATACTCTGAGGGGAAATGATGAATGCATCGGTTTTGAGGATATCCTTAATGGTAAATACATTCCGTTTTGAATGTTATGGAACCATGTAAAGGTAAAACTTGGGAACTGTGAAGTTCTTTGCCTCTATGGAATAAGAGAATTAAATGCACAAAATACAAAGAAAAAATTGAATTCCTGAAGGCAAAGAAGCACTGGGGGAAGGAGAAATAAATGTGGTTCAGCTGCTAGTTGTGTGGAAATTACTCTGAAATATTGAGAAAGCCAGTATTTGCTTGTAGGTTGGGTTTCTAAAGGAGTGGAAGATTATGCACTTAATGTTGTATGCCTGTTTCACCAGAAACTTTTGAACTACTTCTGCAGATTTTGACAGGTGGAGCTTACAAAGATAGAAAGTTTTTATAAGTTCTATAATTAAAAAGAAAGAAAGGCTAGAGGAGAGATACTGAACTAATGAACCAGAGATGTGGCAAGGGAAGGCTCCCTCAAATTAACTCAACAGTTTGCAGCTGTGTGGTGGGCTACTGGCTGACAGTATGTGTGGAATAGAATAAACCTGGAAAAATAGTTTAAAAAAATAATTTCTTTCTAGCTGGTAGTTAAGGACATGGAAGGAGGCAGAGGGTATTTTGAGGTGGGATTGGAGAATGGAAAGAGCCAGGGAGATAGGAAACTGGAAATAATGGAGGGGTAAGTGGGAATCTAGAGGCATGAGGTAAATCTGGGATTATTTTCTGGGATGGGTTTACAGGAAGCAAGGGAAGGAATCTTAGGTTATTGTGGTTCAGGGGGTAGAGCAATGTCAAACAATTTATAGGAATTTGGTTATTAACCATTGCTCACAACAAGCTGTTGCATATTTATAGAGTGCTGAGGAGTGAGCAGGTTAAAAGCGTTTTTGGTAAGGTTGTATTTATCAGCTGGGGCTGGATTAGATAATTTTGGTGTCTCTGGAGGAATCAAAGGCATTAATATGCCTTATTTACAGAAGGAAAACACTCCAATACACCCATAAAGAAAGGTGTATTTCTTTCAAAGTGCAGTCACAACCTTTTTTCTGGCCTTGATTTTTTTTTTTTTTAAATTATGGAAATGACATTCATACTGTCAGCATTGGTATCTCTTGTGTCCTCTGTACATTCCTTGATAACATTAGAGTACAGTGGCTAATGCCAACCATACTTTACAGAATGGAGGAAATCTCAGAGATATTTAAGGGCATAGAATTTCTGTGAAACTAGGCAGTTAGGTGGAGAAGAGAAACCACAAGTACATCCCAACTAACAGAAGGGCTGGAGTGTGAGCTCCTATTGTGCAAAGAAGTTGCACTGGAAAAAGATGTGGGGCACCTATGAGGAAAAAAGCTTCAGTAGACTTGAGTTTTCTTAAACACAAAACTCAATCAGCCTTGAGATTCAAGCTATAGGAGACTGCTTATGTAGAACTGGTTGGTTTTACTTGAAGTGTGTGCGTGTCCTTATGAAACGCTGTTCCACTATAGATGTATTTGTTATCTGATGATTGCTTTGGATAGAGACTTAGGAGTTACAGACCTGCATTGTGCAACACTGTCAAAAATCAGTAAGAGTAACTGTTGCACTAAGGATTAGAATGAAGGGAAAAAAGAAATGGTCATGTTCATAGTTATTGTTGGTCTTTGCAGCTTGGTAAAAGCCTCATGCCGTTGACTTTTTTTTTCCAGATCCTTCACAGAGTGAGGTTATGGGAGAACCACACATGATGATGGAATACAAGCTTGGTTTATTGTAACAATGTACTCCACAAAAATGTTTTGTGCGTGTCTTTATACTGCAGATCTGAATACATGATACTAAATTGACACTCGCGGTGTTAAGCAGTCCTTCAGTTACCACTTGCCTTCCTTGATGAAAAGGCACATTAAATGTTTAAAGTCTAAATTGTTCTGTGCTTATTGTCAATTATATAAATGTCCTGTAACTAGGTAGTTTAAATAATGTCTCTTCATCCACTGCTCAGGACAGTAGCTTCTTAACTATGGAAATGCTATATATGTATACAAGAAATCCAAAAATACCCATGCATTTTAAAACTGATTACTGTCGGTAAATGCATTTAATGGATGTTCTTGCAGAAGAACTTTTTAAGGGGGAAAAGAAGGTATTTTCCATTGAGTAACTCTTTGTTCATGAAAATTTCCATACACTTTTTAAACTATTGAATAAAAGTTTGCTATAAATGCTGTTGCGTTCCAAAATATATTTAATCATAAATCAAGAATCTCTTATCCGCAACACTGTTTGTGGTGTTCCTTTTTCCTGCAGTATCTTTAAAGATCTTTAACTTCTGCACTGCCAGTGGAATCCTGCTACATACATTTTGTCCCCCCCTGTTGACGGTTGTTCGTGAGTGCGCCATTAAGGTTTTGTGTAGAATTGGAAGTATCGCTGTAAGGAGGGAGTTAAAGGTCTGGATTTTTTCATCTGTGTCTCTGAGAGGATATTCTGATTCCTGAAAGTAGAAGCAAGTTCCACTTGGAGTTTAAAGAAGTGTTTTAAAATCCATTTGGGAACATGATCCAAAAGAGCACTCCTAGATCTAGGTATTTTAGATTTCGGAGATTAAGAAAGAATGCAGTGCCTAATTATGACAGTACCTAATAAAGCTGCTGCAGTGAGAACATGAAGATACAGTGGTACTAGATGACAAATACAGAAATAATTTTTTGTGGATTTACCAAAATCAGACCTTAATTAAGGGAGAATGAGACACCTATACTTAAATACACCTTGTGAAGCAGCGGGCCACTGAGAGGTTTTTTGTGTGCTTAAGTGGGGGATGGGTGTGCGTGTGTTATTAAATTCAGGGTTGTAACAACTATTTTCTGATGTCATACATGTGCATGTATCATATATAAATCCTGCAAGGCAGCTAATATGATGTGGCATATTAGGAGAAAAAGTCTGTGGTTCAAAAGATGTCATCTCTTGTCACATGGGGGGAGCTTGAAACAGTATTTCTAAGACAGGAACTGTCTTTATTCAGCAGGTTTTAATGACTTGGTTAAACTGCTAAGTGCACTCAGTGTTCTGTTATAGATAATTTTAGCAGAAATGTTGCTATAAACCTCTTTTCACAATCTCAAACATCTCGTGCTTTTCAGTGTGCTTAAAGGTGCCACAAAATCCCTATCCATGTGTGTGAAAGCTTCTAGCTTCTGTCCTGTAAATTTTACAGTGCTTTTATGTGCATCTATTGCAAAACATCGCAGCAAAGTGAAAACATTGAGATGACACAGTATGAGACACTTTACTGGTGGTTTTATTTGGTTTTATATTTAAGCTTGTTTCATTTAAGAAGTGAACCTTCTAAAATTGTCTTTCACTTGCAGAGATTAGAGGCTTGTGCTATGAAATACAAGCTATTTCATTTGTATTTTTTGCCTTAGTGAGGTTAAACACAGGACCAATAAATTGAGCATGCAAGTGTAGACCTCCTCGCTGTTTTGTTTTCCATAGCTGTCCTGGTTTTTCTGTGAGCTGATATACTTTATTAAATATCAGAATTGGCTGCTATTTTATAATTGACAAGTTTCTTGGCAGTTTTGTATAAAGCAAAAGTAAACTGCTGTTATGAAGTAAGCTTGGGGTTCAGTAGGTTTTGTATTGCTCTAGGCTCAGGCCAGAAAGGCTGAGGGATTACCTTGCTAGGTCTGGGACAAATTAAGGTATGGGCATGCATTTTTAGGAGGATTTTCAGGTCTGCCTTCCTACCAGCACTGTTCCAGAAATAGGGGTGCAGAAAACAGGGAGCCCTCCCATAGTTGTGCACAGTTACTGGTACTTTGTAGCTCCTCGCCTCCAATGTATCTACCTAGTTGGCCTTTCCTGGTGTTGGTTGAAAGATGTATTGTATTGTATCTGAGCAAAACTACGCTCAGACAAGTAATTTAGTGGAATTTCTCATTAGTGCAGCAAAGAGCAGACACGGATTAGGAGGCTGGACGTAGTTTCTAGGTGGTTTTGTTCAAGGATTAGTATACTTTATTATAATCTTGAGTGAGACCAACGCATCTCCAGAGCAAGGAAGCTAATTTTAGGGGCTAGCCAGGCTGGAAAGCAAATGGTATGTGTAAGAGGCACGTGCAAGAATTTATGCTTTTAATAGAGTAATGGGAGTCAAAGAGGACTGAGGCAAAGAGCTTTTGAGATAAAAAGGAAGGGTTGCACTTGCTTAGCGTTGCAGTGGGTTGGGCTGGGGACTGCTCTTCCTGGCCCAGCCCCTTCTCCCTAGTACATACAAGCCTCATTCTGTAAGGCAGGTGCTGCAAGTAGCAATCTGCGGAGGCACGCCAAGCGAGGTGTGCCGACAAGTGTAGCTGGGACAGACCCTGCCTTGGTCTCGCATTGGACCCAACCTGGGCAAGGGGAGGAAGGTGCTTGCAGGGTCCCCTGGTCTGACAGGTGCAACACAAGCCCCCGTGCTGACTTCTTGCGGACAGCAGTGCTGTCCCTGCCTCCTCTTGGTGCTGATGTTCAGGGCAGCATCCTTGCCTCCCTCCTCCTCCTGTGCTGCTGTTTGTGTGTTATGACCACAAAAAATAGATGACACCATAGTGCTGCTGCTTCTGTTTACATAAACATTCCTCCACCAGTCATACTGTTGGCTGTCAAAGAACAATGCAAGAACTAAAAATACAATGTAGTTTAAAAAAACAAACTTCATTATTAATTTCTGTCAAAATAATTTGCATTTACATACAAATAGAGCAACTACTATAAACTTGGAAGATTTTGATTTAATAATCTGAAGCACACTAGTACCTGGTTTCCTCAACTTGCGCTGTGCTAGGCACTTTAAAAAAACACAGTTCATATCCTTCATGTATTTTGACTGAAACTTACAACCAGTTCTAAATGCTGTGTCTACCAGAAATACTTTGCAAACAGCAAGTACTTTGTACAGCAAAATCAAACCATAACAAAGCCATTCCTGAAGTGCATGTGCATGTTCTCATTTGGGTCAACAGAATGCCACTGCAGAATGGGCTTGCTTTGTTGCTACCTTCTGAGTGCTAGCAGAGGTGTGCACTGAAGAAGAGGAAGTGAATGCACACACCCCTTCTTCATTTGTTTTACTTTTTCCAGGCAGTTTTGTGTGAAATAGTTAATTTCATAAAGTGTTACATAACTGCATAATGAAGAGGCAAAGAAGACAATGTAATCTTTGTGCTGAAATCCTTTACATCGGTGTTTTCTTAATCTCTCTACAAGTACTCATTATGTTTTGGACACACCGATTATTGTAAAACTTGGCTCACTTCTCCAATGAGTTGGCAGCAACTTGGGCACCTCAAGGGAGGAGAGTTAAGCGGTTTTATTTACCGGCTAGTGTCTAAACTAGCTAGGAAAAGCTAATGATCTTTAATTGCCAACATCAGCCTTGGTAGTTCAGGACAGAAGTGTAAGAGCTGGCTATAGTTATTAGCTGCAAATATTCATTCCTCCTGTCCTGGATAAATGGCACTGTCTTCACCAGTGATGGGTAGGTAGTGGTCTCCTGGATAGTGCAAACTCTCCTTTACCTTATTTGAACCCTCTTCCAAACTCCTCTGTGATCACGATACATAGCTTGGAAACAATGCTGTCTTTCAAACAGAAAGGATCTACAATACCATATCCTCATGATGTGGTACTAGTATTTTTTGGTGGAGTACCACTGAGAAGTTCTGCAGAAGTACTCTGTTCATATAATGGATATTAATGGCTGTAAGCAGATTATTGATTATACAGCATAAGCTATGTCTGTCTGTATTTTTATCCTATGCTGTGTGTATGTGAAGTCAGTTCCCATATCATAGTTGCTTTCCTAGAGTTTTCCTTCTGCGAATGTCAACCACCTTACATTATTCTGATTTCTCTACCTAATCTGTTTTAGGGGAAGTGAGTCACTTACAACCTGCTTGTACTTCCAGGGATCAGAATGGTATTGGCTGTCAAACTCTCTCTGAAAAAAACACATGGGAGTGATCCTTAACATGGTGTTATGTTTACACTTCTGCTGTGTTGTGCATTCCAGAAGCTAATACTCTGGATAATTTCTACTTAAAGATCTCAAGCAAAAAGGTGAAGAGTCAATGCAGAAACTGATTCTAGGTTTGGCAGTCTCACCAGTTTGCACTGTGGCCCTGGGCAAGTCACTTGTCGTCTCTGTTGATTTCTCTCTCTCTGCAACAGGGAGGATAATATCTAGTATGGAAGGAGGTTCTTAGTAGCATTTGTAAAGTGCTTTGAAGATGAGAAATGCTGTTCAGGTGCTCATGATTTATGCTGCATTCATTGCAAGATGATTAGATGCATGATTCAGATTTGGTCATCTCATTTCAGGGTTGTTAAAAAAATAATCAAAGATCCACTGAAAAGAAATGCTATTACAGCCTTTCACTAGAGGAAACATTTAAGCTATGTACAGCCAACTTACTTAACTAGAAAACAAGAAATATCTATGGGAAAAAAATAGAGGTGTCTGTATGCAGTCCCTATTATATGGAAAACGATAAAAATAAATGTGCAATATGGCCTCTGCAAAATGTAGGCATAGGCCTAACTTCACACTCTGCAAGCTGGAAATTTTCTAAGTATGACAGTTCTGTGTGAAAATCCATTTTAAGAGCTAAGTCACAGGCAAGGTCCACACATCATACATTAAACTTGCTCAAAAACTCTCTGCTAACTGCAGAGCAGTACGTCTACTTACAGCAGGCAAATGTGCAATATGGCCTCTGCAAAATGTAGGCATAGGCCTAACTTCACACTCTGCAAGCTGGAAATTTTCTAAGTATGACAGTTCTGTGTGAAAATCCATTTTAAGAGCTAAGTCACAGGCAAGGTCCACACATCATACATTAAACTTGCTCAAAAACTCTCTGCTAACTGCAGAGCAGTACATCTACTTACAGCAGGTGCAAGTACTGCCTCCAGTTTGGTTGCTTTCTGAAAAAAGTACCTTTTAGTTTAGTAATTTTAGACAGGTTTGGAGGCTTCACCATTAAGACAGGCTTTTTAAGATGTACACAGTGGACCGCGTCCTCAGCTGGCATGAGCTCCACTGGCTTCAGCAGAATTGCCAGCACCCTCTGAGTTGATAAGCTTATCCCTGTCGCCCCAGTTAGAATGATACAAGATGTATCACAATCCACAGCTGAAAGAGTATCATCCTACCTTATTTTTTTTCTTCATGCTGAAAGCAGCATTAAAATCTCCATTGCCAGCCTATTTGCATAGTTAAGTATAAGAGCTAGTTTTTTCAAGTGCTAAAAAGAGACTGGGTAAAGAGTGCTACCAATTTAGTGCTTATTGCTGCAGGGCCACTTTGAGATTGCATCTGTAACTCTTGTGTTATCTCTATTGATCTCTGTATGACATAACGGTCTCTGCCACTGCATGCCAGATTAGAAAACGCAGGTAGGTGAATCCTCCGTTCAACTGTCAGCGCTCTCTATACTGGATACTTCTTCAGGTACAAGCAGAGCCAAGTCCTCCCCATTCCAGCTTGTGCACAGAAGCCAGCTGTAAGACACAGATAAGACAGATATCTTTAGCTGAGATAGTTAAGTATAGCATGCTGATTCAGCACCAACACACACATCCGATAGCTCTGTTACAGCCATCTTCTGTAGCACAAAGCTGGTGATGTGTCTTAGTAAACAAAAGCAATGATGGTACTTGCCCTTATTACACAAGTTAGACAATATCATTAGTACCTATCAAAGACAGCAGTAAACTACTATGCCTGATTTATTACAGACTGGAACAACTACCCTTTCTGCTCTCAAATAGTAACATTGCGTGACACTCTCAAAAGAATGGTTTTAGAGAAAGGTTATTCAAAGGGTGGGATATCTGAGACACTAATGACAGAAGGAAAAGAAAAACAACTTCCAAAAATTTACGGTGATGATGGACTACAGTCCTGATTGCAGGGTGGACTAATTGGTGGTAAGTATCTGTTGCCTTTTGCACAGAATAGAGTGCTTTCTTAACAGAAACTTTCTCTATCATACAGCACTGAACTAAACTAAAACTGATATTTAATAAAACAGAAGTATTTACTGGGCCTTTGTTAATATAACTGAATTCCTCAGTTTTTTATTACTTTACTGAAAAGTATTCTCCACACACAGCACAAGACCCCTTTGCTTCAATTCCCTCAGGTCTGAGACCCATCACTACCTTAGTCTTAAGTTACCATTAGTGCAGCTTCTCTGAATAGACTGTGTAAAACACTGTAGTCAGGCAGGCACAGACTTGAAATTATGTGAAATGTTATAAATATACAGCATTATCACTGCCTATTAAAAACTTAAAATGCAGCTGATGTAGAGATAAAAGGTGACTGAGGTAAAGCCTAAGCATTAGGAAAAAAGATAGAAGTCTCCAGCAAGCGTACCACCCTCTTAAGAAAAACAGCTTTTTTCCCCCTGAATATAAATCTATCTAATGGAAAGTGATCCTTCTGTCATTTAGGTCTATGTTCCAGCATCCTAAAAAGACATAATTTATATTGGAAATAATGTAAAGTGAACTTCGCTTTTGTGAATACTCATGAATAATGACCTTTCGCTGTCAGTATTACTAGATGGTCAGTAGATATGGTTAGATGCAAATGCTATAGAGGCATATTTTTTTAAACATGTCTAGAGGTTTATTCATACGGGGCTTAAAGTTAGTGCAGATCTTTTACAGATTTTGATGGCACTGGGTCACAAGGTACCCATGACCAAGGACTAGGACAGATAACTTTCCATTAAATTCACTGGGTCATTGGTCATGTTTACAACCCTCTTTAGCATCTGGAAGAGCTCAGACTGCAAAACTAAGCTCATGCCTTTCAAGTGATCTATTACTTTTGTTCTTTGTCAAAGGCTTTCCTCAGGGACACGTGTGAAATTCTCAAACCAAGGGAAGGGACGCGCATGCAGTCAAGGGTACAGTGTATCCCACTAGTAGTACGTTCAGGGTAGATTTCAGCTTGGTGGAATTAGGTGACAAGTACACAGCACGGAGCTGAAGGGAGGTGGCGGGATCAGGGCCAGACAGGGCTGATGATGGAAAAACTCCAGCAAGGTGTAGGGGAGTAGGTGTTGAAGAGGGAAAGAACAGGACACTACAACTACCAGCAGCTGCGGAGCCACTCCTCTCAGAGACTGGACACAAGCCTCACTGAGAGAAAGCAGCCCCCCATAGACTGGGCTCCCTCTCTCCGATCCCCCCGGGGAAGACACTGCCATGTTCCCTGGTTTCAGCTCTGCCCCACTCCTAGCAGCCGCTTGTACCTTCTATAGGCTTGCTAGGTATAAGCAGTTCCTGAACTGGGTGGAAGCTGGAGGGAAAGCTACACACGAAATAAGCCAAGCACACTAGAAAATATTGAAGTTTGAGAACTACTGCACTAAACCATTCAGCTTCAACTCATGTCAAAACAGAAATTACCAGTAAAAGCAGTCAGAAGCACCCTCCCGGTCCGTACTTACCACAGGACAGCCAGTGGAATTAGACAAAGTCCTGCTGATAAGAGGAAGCTAAAGCCTGAAAACCATGCAACAGTAGCTGCATAGATAATATTAAAAACTGAAAGTGAAATAGTGCCGGTCACAACTTCTAAACAGGCAATACAAGCAAACACAGCACCTGCCAAAGACAAATGGATGAATTACAAACAAATCAAAATAAAACCAAAACCCCTTCAAAGTACTGAAGTTTTTAAACTTGTTTTGAAAGATCTATCTATCTACAGTATTTTAGCAAGTGGGCAAGTAACAAGCACCCAAGTATCATATGTCTTTGCTATGGGAGTGTCTTCTGTGGAGACTCCTACAAAAGACTTGGTTTTTAAATGAAAAAAAAAAACAACCCAAAACAATAACAACATTTCGCTGATGGAAACTATTTTTCTTTGCTACTATTCTGTGACTGTACCTACTTTCTTGAATCTGCTTATCACATGAAGTTCAAACTGTTCATCCTCACTAACCATATTCTGCACATGTCCATCCTTCACCCCTTCCAATTCTCCTCTCAGTTCTCATTCTTCCCTTTCTTGTTTCTTCCTTCTCTAATCTTCACTCTTATATGCGGAAAAGGCTCTGATCCAACAAAGACTGCTGGTTCAGCACCTAACCATCTCCTCCTCATTTTTGAAAGGAAAGAAACAACAATTTTGCACTGAACTACCCATTGAGGTGGCAGTCCACCCCATCAGTGTCTTGTTGAACACATTTTTCCAAACCACATTCATATTCACGGGACCATAAACAAAATCACAATAGGTAAGCAGAAAAGGATGACAAGAAGCAACCTGATTCCTTCATCAAACTACTTAAGTAGCCAAAGCCCTGAAGAATGCCAAGAAACTGCAAAAACAGAGGTATATGTTAGCACAGTCAAGTACAAAGAGATCTTTGTTTTAGTGTATAAAGGTATGTCTTTTAAAAAATAAACCCAAACAACTCAGGAGAATGCTTCTAGAAAGTATATGCTCCCCAAAAGCAAAATATGGGATACTAGAGTCACATTTTGAGGCTTGACATGCTTTTTTCTGTATTCCATAAGGAAAGGACTTTGAGAAGTAATATGTTATATCTTTTGGGACATGTTTAAATAGCCACAGGCACCCGTGAAGCCAGGTACACAGCTCAGGATCCAAGTCTAAGTGTTTTCAAGTGCTCTGAAGGTTGACCACCTACTGCTTACCTTTCTAAATCATTACGTGTGACATTGACTAAATAAGAGAAGTACATCTTTCTCTGCATGTCAAATACTTGTGAATGTAGAAGCACTTGTGAAATCACATCTGTATAGATCTTGAGCATTCCTCTGCTTCAAGTTCCCCATGGTCTTTATTTTTAGAGCAGTATCTCCTTTGAAGGTTGAAACTTGCAGTAGTTTTTAAACACAACATTGTTTATATTAAATTCAGAATCAAAAGCCATTAATATAATGACATAGGGTCATATTATATGGAACTTGAAAGACAAGCAGTCTTAAAATACCAATACGTATCTGTTTGTTTAAAGGGGATCTTGATGCATCTCTGTTCTGAAATACCGTATTATTGTATTGTTTAAAAACAAATTCTACTCACCCTGTTCACCAGCGAGAACCACTTTTGACAGCATGGATCGGAGAACAGGAATAGGCATAAAGCAGAGCAAAGATGGCACTCTTACTGTAAAGCAATGGATCAGTCATGAGACACTGAAGTAATAAAAATCCAGAATTTTACAAATACATTGCAAATGAATTAGTCATATACTTTTAATGCTCAGTTCCCCAAATAAAGGCAATAGAAAAGTCAAACTAGAAGTGCACTGATATACTTTTAATGCTCAGTTCCCCAAATAGTAAAAGGCAATAGAAAAGTCAAACTAGAATTGCACTGAGACACAATTATCCAAGCACAGAGAAATTAATAAATCCAATATAGCTGTATGGCACTAAAACCAAATCATAAGCAAGTAATTCCATTCTCTTTCCACACACTTCACTTTTAATTAAATCCTAAATCAGTCTGACTCAACCTTGTATAATTTACCTTTCTATGACCCTTTCAAGATGGTACGTCCAATATCTACCAACTGTACTCACTACAGATAACATAGCAGTATTTTCACATACATTGTTGACCACGGAACAACTGATTCTGAACTCACCTAAAAACATAAGCAGGGTAGTTTTGGCAAAGGCAGCCATGACCATTCCTCCAATGTAAGAAAATATCCCGATAAAGACAATATAAATTTCTTTGAGACATTTAGAAAATAAGTAAACTCCTAAAAAACTGGTCAGAGAGACAGAAGTGAACGCAGCTGCTCCATATCCAATGTATACTTCATTCCAGCAGAGTGGCTCATCCAGTTCATACAGTGTAAAAAGCGAACTCCCACCAACCATAGTAAACAAGTAAGTCATAAATGTAAAAAGTAACACAGTGATTAAAATTCTCTTTTTATAAGGGGCAGTTTTAAAAAGCATGTACACTCCAGAAAATGTCTCTCTCAGAAGTTCTTTACAAGATACTGGTGCCTGGTGCTGGAATTCAGATACGCCAACTGTATCTTCCAGAAGAAATATAATATAGATAATATTAACAACATGAAGCAGAGATGCCGTCACAAATGTCCATGTAAAGCCTATTCCTCTTAGAAAGTAGCCAGATGACAGTCCTGCCAATCCAGATACAACTCCAAAAATCAAATCCACCACAGCTATTCGCGTTGTCTTCTGCTTCTCATCGTGACACACGTCTGCTATAAAAGCAAAGCCTCCTCCAAGGAAAGTTGCCGCACTCCCAAACAGTCCAGTAATAAATGCAACCGCAAATAGGATAGAGAGTGACAAGGAAAAATATGATATTACAGTGAGGCAAATATCAGCAATCAAAGCTCCCACTGATGGTAAAACTAAAGACCTTTTGCGTCCCTGGCGATCCCCATTAGCTACAATGACAAAGGCAACTATAAGGCTGGGAACTGCCCCAGTTAAGTCCAACTGCATATTAAAAACAGAGGCTTTTTCTTGAACTTCCTGCAAAGAGAAAACAAAAAAAATCATAAATACTGTAATACATTTAAAAAAACCAACAACTATATAATTTATAATAATACTACACTTACATAATGATTAGGATGCAACAATGTATAGCACAATACATCTTTATATGTTATAAATTATTATAAAACATTATATACAATATCGTTGTATAAGAGTGACATTATATTAGAATATATTATGCTATAATAAAAAACAGTACATGACTGTTTATAAGAATGCATATTACAGTAATCACTAATACAAAGGAATTCAATATTCAAAGACTCCTGCTTTTGTAATTTTACCTTCAGTATTCCTCAAACATCCCTTGTTACATTTTAAGCCAGAACTTACTTCTTAAGATACAGTCTTACTAGTACTCTTGACAGAGAAGTTTAAACGGAGACAAGAGAACAATTCTCTTGAGCATGCATTTACAAGAACTGGTGCTTATACTGCAAGTACCTCCTTCAGCACAGGGTATTGCAAAAGGACACTGGGCCTATTTTAATCTCTCAGAAATCCATAGTAAAACAGTCTTTGACTGAGGAACACACCCCATGCTCCCTACCCACAGGAGATCATTTTTCTTCCTAAATAATCCTACCAACAGGGTTACAAAGAAACAATTCACTGACTAGCACATTGTACAAGTAAACAGATCAGGATTTGCTCTGACATCCCAGTATACAATGTTAATAACAACAGCAACCACAAATGTGAAACACAGCATTAAAAATTATACTGACTCACAGATAGGTGAATTAACTAATTTTTAAAACACTGGAAAGCTCTGAAACTGTCCAAATCAGTGATCTCTCTATAGATATGCTACAGCAGGTATTCACATAGGGAACAGCAGGTAACACTACAACAATAAACACCCATTATGGGAAAAATTTCTGAGTTCTTTTTAACAGAAGTACAAAAATCAAATGTAGCTGAAAAACAGTTAAGAGAACATGAATGGCCGTAGAAAAAAGAACTAAAGAAAAGTCAATTAAAAAAAAATACTATCTTGTTATGAAGCCAGCTGCTAAATGACGCTCAGCAAGCTAATTCAGATCTTGCTTTTATTGCGTCAATATAGACTAGACAGACAGCAGCCACAGCAGGCCTTTCAAAGACAAGCACCTGATCAGACAGAAAAGCAGCAGGGGAAAAGGAAGTACCTTCATTCGCACAAACCCTTTGTAAGAAGAACTTTCAGATGCAGAGAGTAAAGCCACTCTGAAAGTTTTCTTCAAGTTTTCTGCAGTATCACACTGACTTGGGCAGGGGTTGCACTCTTCAGTCAGTAGCACGTACAGCCGTGTAAGTCTCCCCAAGCCATTCTCAGCCTGTATTCAAGCCATCTATATTCCACATTTCAGGTGTTTCCTCTGTAGCTAACATAATCCCCACTGAGTAGCATCCAAAAGATGAAGAAACCCTAGAATTCCCAGGAATGTACTTTGGGCAATTTTAAAAGCTGCTGAATGCTTTATAAATTCATATTTGTATTTACAGGCAAAGACCACAAGTTTCTAGTTCAATCTCTTCGTTTGTTTACAAGATAACCAGGTTTTATTGCAAGAGGAAAATTCAACTGATCCTGAGGCCCTCAAGGAAAGCCCTCAAGATCCCCAGCACGCTAGTGTCTTTTACTCTCTTCCCTTATGGTGTCTGACTACCTTAGGATGCATGATGTCCTGTCCACTGGCCAGCATTGTAGTCACCCTGGGAGGGTCAAAACCATGAATACTGAACAAACCGAGATGGAAAATGATATTCTGATCTTTAACTCCTCCACTGCTGACAAAGAGAACTCTATGTAGTTGCAGGCATTGCTTCTTTACTAGGACCATCAGCTTCAAAGACATGAGCGTCAAAGAAATGCTAATACATTAGAAATAAAACTAGATGTTATTATATATCATCTCAACCCACATTAACCATGCAATACAAATATTATTGCCAAACCATAATGAAGTGTTAAACTGGAGGAATAAAACAACAAAGACTTGGGTTTCATTGTTTTGGAAGTAGATGTGCAACATAAAGAACGTGGCTTTAACACATCCAGATACCGCAAATGACCATAACCTTGCAGACATAAATGACTTGTCTACTGATGAGAAGACTAAAAGACAGAAAAACTCCATTTAGCATGTAAAGCACTCAACTGCCCACTTCATGTTTTTATAACGTCAATGGAAAGGAATACAGAAAATGATAGGTCAGACCTGCAGCTGCTTTAAAATCATGTAACTCTATTAAAATCAATGGAACTACATAAATTTGAAGAGAAAGGTCTTGTTTTTTAATCTGCGAATTCACTCTACTCTGAAAAAAATGCTCACGGTGGACAGAAATAGTTCTTAAAATCACAAATTTCAAAATTAAAAGAATGAAAATGAAGAAGCAATTCACTTATAAAAGGAATAAATTAAGAAAAAAGTGTTGTGCCTGAGGCTGAACAATGTACAGGACATGATAAACTGACAGGCTCATAAAATTAAAAAATATTACTGAGTAGCAAAGGAAAATGCATGGACTGGATAATAAATAAACTGGATGATAAATAATGTTTAATGATTAATAATATAACTCTTTCTGAGCTAAAAAAAAAAGGATTATCCAAGCCAGTGATTGGAATGCTTCAGCTTGTATTCAAATTACCTTTGAACTCATTTTATTATAAAATGACTAATTTCCTTCAAATTGTAAGAAATAATTAATCTAAAAGCTGCAAAGACTATCCATTTTGAACTACATTCTACTTTTTTGCAGGCTCCAAGTGATTTTTGTCTTCAACTTCCTTTTACATTTTGCTTTGAAATAGGTGAGATGATTAGTAAAAAGCTTCTCCATTCTCAGAATGGAAGGACTTATACTAAATTAACTATTAAGGGAGGTGTTCTTCTGAAAGTTAATGCCAAACAGGGCCTGTTGGGAACACTCCTGACAGCAGAATTTACAGCATCTGTAAGCATTAGTCAGTTAGGATGGTCTTGGAAAATCCAGAACACCTACTTCACATATCCTCAGCAAAGGGCTTGGAACTGTGTTACTGGATCTACTCTTTTCCCCATACACAGGATTATGACTCAGCACAGAGACCGCGTTCCACTGGAATTGATGGGTGTTTTGAGCATTTTACATTCTTATACTATGGTAACAAGCGTTGTATCAAAATGCAGGTGAGATGTCCAGACAAGAGCACGATTGTTCAAAAGCTCATGCCCTGCTGGCAATCATTGAAATGGAGGGAATGGAAATTTGGCAGAAAGGGGAAACTAAGAAGTTCTGTTGGCCATTATTCAACTACCATCTTGAAGGATTCATGTTCTCAAATATCAAGTTAATTATACTTTGTATCCTTGATGCCAAAAAAACCTGTAATGTGTGAATTCACCACCACATCAATCAGAGACACTATCTAAACTTCAGCTGAAATTAAGCACTCTGCTTCAGTGCTTTGCAAAAAGAAATATGAAGTCTTATATCCTGAGCATAGGTGATCACAATTTGAAAATCAGGTTGAATTTGGGGGCTTTCTAGCAAATGCGAAGTGCAGAAATGTTTGTGAAATGTAGGTTTCTTGATGGGCTCTGCGACTAGAACTGTATGCACCGCATATGGTTTTCTTAGAGTTGCTCCTCCTATTGACACATGACACCGTATGACAAAACACCCACACACAGCATCAAACGGGGAGCTAATACTAAAGAAAACACTTTGGGGGAGTAACATACAAGCATTACTCAGACAATAATTGGTTATTATCTCCAAATTAATTCCTATGGGTGGCATACATTACCCTCTTCGGCTGATGGGCCAGCCCAGAAAGCACACTGGACTACAATTCTATCGACCTTTCTACTTTCACATTCTTTCTACTAAGACCGGCTTCTGTCACATGAGGAAGAACCTAGTCCACGGTAAAAATCCTGAATTATTTCTTTGATCATCTTCAATGGAACCATGTACCATTAAAAAACCTCTTTTATATATGACAAATGAAGCAGATAAGCTTAGGTGTTCAGTCTTGTGCATATGCAGCACATCAGAGATTCAAATCTGGGATGTGAGTGAAAATTTTCAGGTGCCACCTTTTCAGCAGCATAGGGGAATGCCAGCTGACTGTTTCCATAAGTCCATCTTCTGTGTAATTTACAGTCCGAGTCATCTACTTTTCTGACTCTACAGTGGTTTGATGTTCCACTTAATCCAACCTAGCTGCCAGTTGTTGTTGCCAAGGATGGTTCTGTCGTACCTCTTCTGCAAATATGTTCCCTCTGCCATCCCCATGTTAGATACAGCAATCACGTGGCCAGAGTGTGTCAGAGCAGTGCATTGCTTCAGAAAACAACAACACTCAAAAATCAACAAACTCAAAAAGGAGATGAGCTTTCTGTTGAATCAGTACCCATATCAAATCCAAACTGTAGCCTGTAACTGTGGAATTGCAAGATTCAACACATGGGGGGGAACAACAGGTGCGGGGAGGGAAAGGAAAATGGAGTATGATCGTCTCTTCTGCTGGCAGCCCACAGTTAATTCTGCTTAAGCGTAGCATTAAAACTGCACTGGAAGTGCAAGGAAAGAGGTTCCAATCAACAACTAGCTATCCAGCATGCTGAACTATGAAAAAGTGCTAAAAATGTAATTGACCATGGGATGCTGTCATCTTGCCATCTTTATATTTCAACAAGGCAGACTAGCACTGCTATGAATGGTAAATCATCAATTATGTTTGATTATGCAAAGATCAGTTAAATAATTTTTCACATTTTAAAAATAAAATTTTTTTTATCTTACCCCCCCCCCCCCCCCCC